GAGAGAGAGAGAGAGAGAGAGAGAGAGAGAGAGAGAGAGAGAGAGAGGCGGAGAAGAAGAAGAGGCTGATGCAGCTGCGAGGAAAGTTTCACCCTCTCCTGGGCAAAGTTGGCCGTATCGGCATCCGGAAACTGAAATCGCGCCGGTCCCAGTGTTATCGTTACCAGTCTGGCGGGTTTCGATCCGTCACACGATTGGTCCTGGAAACTTTGAAGCTTTCTACATTCTACGTTAAGCGATGATTGCGAGGGAAGTTCCTGATTGACTCGAGAATTCTTCTGCTCTCTCATTTTTCTTTCTCTCTGCTTTCAAAAATTTTTCGAACGTGCGAAGGATATCGATTAGAGATTTGTTAGATTCTTTTTTCTCTTCTCTTTTTCTTTTTTTTTCCAAAATTAAGCTCCAAATTGAGAAAGCTAATTGAAAGTAATTCGGGGTTAAAGATATTTGTACGCGTAATTATAATTTTTTTGTTCATATTCGTCTTTTCTATAAATCAGATTTATGAATGAATAGAGTCCATGTTGATTACGATAAACGATACAACGAGAATTATTGTATTATTTTGAATTACGCGATAATGGATGTTGCATAGCGATTGTATATAACAATTTTTCCTATTTAATGGAGACGCGTTGCTTCTATTTCGAAATATACAAATCGTTGGTTGTAAATCGTGACACACTTCAATCTGTGTCTTTGTACGAAATTAATTAATCGTAATTAATTGTATCGTTCCATAAAACGGATGCGAGAAAATTATTATTTTCGACCGCGAATCTCACCCAGGAAAACATCGACGGGCTGTAGATCGTGATTGGTCCTCGGCTGCACGACGATTCCTCGTAAACGACCCTGTTTCACTCGCACCTCTCTGGTGAACCGTTCGGGGGGATCGAGAAACTTGGACCGATAACCGTACAGCGATCTTGTTTCGTAAATATTGCGATGCTCCGTGAGTATCTGGGTGCAGGCCAGCAACACGAGTCCCACGAGCTCGAGCCGCAGCATCCTCGACATTTGTTCGATCGTTGGACAACCGGAAAGGGGAGCAATGAATTTTCACTGGCCCATCTTCTTCAGACTCCGGACCGCCTTTGGACCGAGTCACGCACGGCTCGTCGAAACCGGTTCCCGGGGTAAAAATAATTTTTCAACGCTCGTGCTTCTTCCGCTCGGCTCACCGGATGCGAGGGCAAGTTCCTTCGAGAACTCAGACTTCGATGCCAGGCTTCGATGCACGCTCTTTGCCACTTCGATCCTTCCTCTTCGATCCTTTTGTTCCTCGATATTAATTGGGTAGAAACGATTTACAAGCGCGCCAAAATCCGTGACAAGTACGTTTTGGCACCGCGTATGTATGCTTTGTACACATTTCGATCGTTGAAACTCACGTTCATCGATCAATCACGTTGTACTTTATTCTTATTTAATATTATTTAATATTATTTAATATTCTTATTTAATATTACATTAATATTCGCCCGATGTGTTTTATAAGCAATCGACGATTAAACGAATGTTTTTCCCCGAGTTAAGGATTTCTTTTATTGAACGCGACACTTCGCGCGAAATTTCACGAAAATTTGGCCGGTGGCGCGAGAGTATATGTGGAATAATATCACCGAAATAAAACCACCAGTTCGAGATGACTTCCCCTTTGAGTCGCGGTCCCCTTTAAGTATATTTGACAGGAATGGAAACACAGCGGCAGTTTGGTCGGCTACATCTCACTGCTTGACGCCGATTACAGAGCAAGAAAAGGCTCGCTCCATGCTGCGCTGTCCTCCAACGAGATATTCTTAGGTCGAACGAGGGTGAACGCACGTACAAGGCGAGAGGGAAGGAGACAGCCGAAAAGCGCTCTATTTTCGCCCCAAATAGGACGATTCCGGTGTTGGTAAACTTCGCGCGCGTTCATACCGGAACTCGCGATTCCCTCCACTTTCTTCCAACCAACGATTCTCTTCCTTGGATAATAAGATCCAAGGCGATGCGCGCGATCTCGATATTTTTCCGCGCGGCAGAGACGCTGCAGCGCTCTAATTTGTGCGCCAACTTGTCGAAACGATGACGAAACGAGGTTTACACGAGTTTGGGTTCGATTAATAACGGTTTGCCTCTAATTGAATCAAAAGAATTCATTTCACGCCTATAACATTCTCTCCGGGGATATATTAAACGGATAACGCGCAAATTTCGAAACATTTTGCTCGAATGAATCGATTTTTTGCTAATTTGGAAATATATTTATCGATTATGACGATGGAGCGACGTGAAATGAGATAATAGAGTTTCGACAAAGCACAGTTTTCATTTTTTCTATACGGAAAAATGATTTAACACGATGAAAAGAAATTTGATAAAACGATGTCGAAACCGTTACTAATTGACTGGCCCCCTATATGTATCAGCTTCGAGGAAAAACAGTACTCGGTATCAGCTAGCAATTAATGAAACAAATTAATCACAGGAAGGTGAGAAAGAGCATTAACGGAGGGGAGGGGGGGAGTTCGGATGTTGGAAAGGTTTCAATTTATCCCATTCATCGGGCTTACAAAGCCGGCGTCGAAACAGCGCGAATGATTTCCACGGC